TCTCCTCCAAACAAATCTTGCCAAGAAAACCATATGATAGGATTGCCTAGAGTCACCATAAGTCAGAAACAACCTGAAGGCACACAACGTAGACACAGGAGACAGCTCCTGTTTCTTTAGTAGCTGTGTAGAATAGGGAATTTCAGCAAGTTTCGCATGTTACCTGCCTGGATGACAAACAACGCTTGCTGAAATTCACTATTCTGCACAGCAACTTAAAGTGCAGGAGCAGTCTCCAGTTTTCAATATGGTAACCCTAAATTGCTTACCCAAACATGAAATCTAATTAGAAGTATGTGGCATTTACAAGTATGTAGGATGTCAGGGCTATGTCCTACACAATCCTGGGGTCTGGAGTATTTGTTGTTGTGTACCTTCAAGTCATTTCTGACTTATGGCAACCCTAAGGCCCCTATCATGGGGTTTTCTTGGCAAGTTTCTTCAGAAGGGGTTACCATTGCCTTCTCCAGAGGCTGAGAGTGTGTGACTTGCCCAGTGGGTTTCCATAGCTAAGCTAGGATTCAAACCTGGGTCTGGAGTCTGGTTGAGAATTTTAAATACTCTTCCCCAAACTGTAGATTCCAGGATTCCATAGGATGTTGTCATGGTACTGAAAATGGCACTATAATTTAATACCTTCTAACATATTATAGAGGAAAACTGGGACATGTGGTCAAATGGCAAGTTATTGAGGAAGAATATAAAACCTAGGAGAGACTGCAGTAGTTTGCTTTGCCTGAGTCTGCGGAGAAGGGCAAGAGTCTGCCCCTTTCCTTTCTTCTCCTTCCCTGGATGTAAACTACTTTTGCACTTTGAATTCAGTTTCTAGCAACTGAAGTAAGCTGAGGATAATGGTGAGAAATAGGAGGAGGAGAGAAAAATGGGACATTTTAAAAACAGCTGAAATATTAGAACCAGAGGATTAATTGGGACTGTCCCTGCCAAATTGGGACAGTTGGAGTGTATGTAATTGTATAGTGTGAAAGGGCCCTAAATCTCATCTTTCTTCTACCATGAAAATCAAGTTATTGCAGTCTCCTATGCAGGCTCTAGCCAGATCCAGCCTTATTAGCAAATTCTACAAATTCAGAGAGCAGAAGCAGGGAGGGATTCATTTGGTTAATGTTTCCCAGCACTGAAAAAATAATATAAATCCTCATAGTTAGAAAACCAATACCAATAGAAAACTGTCTCCCTTTTCTGTTACTTGTCTTTGCTGTTGATGCTATTGTTGTTGTGTGCCTTCAAGTCGTTTCCAACATATGGAAACCCTAAGGTGATCTTATCATAGAATCATAGAGTTGCAAGAGACCCCAAAGGCCATCCAGTCCAACCCCGTGCCATGCAGGAACTCAAAATCAAAATCATGGGGTTTTCTTGGCAAGATTTTGTTCAGAAGAGACTTGCCATTGCCTTCTCTTGAGGTTGAGAACATGTGACTTGCCCAAAGTCACCCAGTCGATTCCATGGCTGAGCTGGGAATCGAACTACTGTACTTCTCTATAGAAAAGGAATTCTGTGTTTTTGGAGGAGCAATAAAAACTGGAGCTCCATGCTTGCAAACTGAGCAAGTGCAGGCCATTCCTTGGATTTGTTTCTACCTCCTTCTCCCAGCTCAGAATTAATTTTTAAAAACTGTCTCCCCCAAGTTGTATTTTCGACTCTATTCCTTCCTCCTCTCTCACTCGAATCCAAAAATGGTGCAGCCCAGAAAAGAAAAGAATGAAAGAAAAGAGAGAGCCCAGCGGTGAAATGATGGAGGCTCACAGAACAAGGCAACCTAAGCTGGTACTGCAGTGAAAGATCTGTGTCACAGCTATGACAATGAACTAACCTTCCCTGGCTCTTTTCTCTCCTCTAAGCAACCATCCTTGAATTGTCTTCCCTCCTCCGCCTTGGCTCAGGAGAATCAGGCGGCTCTTGAATCTGGTGTCAATGAATGACTGATGAGAAACAAGGGATTGGAAAGCTCACCTGTCGGGGAAGAGCCCTAGGGAGGAAAGGCACCATAGTCTCATCCTCTTCCTGCAAGGAGGGTTTGAGAGAGCTACTGAAAAATGTACCATCCTGCAGCAGATGTGGATGTGGATGTTTTCAGGGAGCTGCGTGTGCGTATGTGCGGCAGTGGCCTGTGGGGAGTGTGAGGCCTAAGAAGCTCAAAGCAAAGCATTTAATTATGCATCTCTTCAAAAGATTCCCTCTTTCATTTTCCGATGTCAGCCAAAGAGAGGATAAAGGAGGCATGCAGTGTAAGTGGCAGGCCCCGGTGCTTTGCAGGAGGCGATGAAGTCGGCACCCTTTGGCTGGCTTGCTTTTTGATGAAACCGGTATCCTTTGGCTTGTTGGCTTTGTGGTACTGATGGATTCTGTTAAAAGAGATCACACGTATGAGTTTGCAGGATCTGAGCAGGGGGTCTTGGGAATGTCTCATCAGCAGGGTTGCCATGGGTCGAGATCAACATGAAGGCAGTTAACAACAAACTGACTTTGATGAGCATTGGGACCTCATACCCTCCAACATTTCACAGATGAAAAGTGGGAAGCATGTGGCCGAGCAACTTCAGAGTATGGTCAAGATGGCAAATATGAATGAATTACACACAAGCTAGGAAAGACTGCAGCGGTCTGCTCTTGCCTGAGCCTACTGGGAAGGGCAAGAAGCCACCCTCTCCTCTCCCTTCTCTTTGTTAATTAAATTCTGGTCTTTTTCGCCCTGCATGATTTTAGCATTATGATTGCCCTTTAAAGGCCATGCTAACTTTCTATGGAATCCTGGGGCTTGTAGTTTGGTGCATCACTAGTGCTTTTTGGTTCTGAATTCTAAACACTTGTCCCTAAACTATAGATCCCAGGATACCAAAGGCAGGAGTAGGCAACCTAAGGCCTGGGGGCCAGATGTGGCACCCCGAGGCTTTTGGGCCGGCCCCAGGCCAGTCCTGCTGCCACCCGCCATGATGATATTGATTATTGTTGTTATTACTTGTTCTTGGGGTTTTCTTGGCAAAATCTCCACAGGGGGTTTGCCATGGCTTTTCTGGGGCTGAGAGAGTGTGCATGCACATTTTTTATTTTTTATTATTTTATTTTTTAATTAATTAATTGATTGATTTTTGGTGCTTTGGCCCCCCAATTGTCTGAGGGACAGCAACCTGGCCCCCAGCTCAGAAAGGTTGCCTACCCCAGGATGTAGTATAAAAGGTGCTTATTTTGCAGGAGCTAAAGTAAGCCAAGGACAAAGGGGCAAAGTTGGAAGAGGAGAGAGAAACTGAGACTTTTAAAAGCAGCAGGAAAAGTGGGACAACCGAGGATTAATTTTGGGACTGTCTGTACCAAATCAAGACAGTTGGAGGGCATGAGACTGTTTATTCGTGGATGGTTTAAAGAGGGTGGGCAGCTGCAAGAGAGGAGAAGATGTCTGCATTTTGGATAGTTGCAGAGAAGAGGGCATTTCAGCCCAGTAAGCTATACCTGCTGAAATTCTCACTTCCAGACTACTTTTACAACAGGACTCCAAAAGATTTCAGGCAATGTGTGGGAATCCTGCAATCCTCTTGATGTAGGACTGCAACGTCCAGCCTTCCTGTGCTGGCTAGGGTGCTGCTGGGAGTTGCAGTCCAACTACATCTAGAGGGCTTGCCTCTGGCCTAGGCAAAGTGCTGGAGAGTGAGCTGCAATAAAAGGATATCCTCTCTGGAGCAAAATCCTTGCAGCTGGTTTCTATGTGTCATAGTGG